TCAAACTTGGCATTGAGCTTGGCATTGAGCTTGGAATTGAGCTTGAACTAGGCATTGAACTTGGCATAATGCTTGGCATCGCACTAGGCGTAGAACTTGGTATCGAAGATGGCATTGAGCTTGAGCTAGGMATAGAGCTTGGAATCACACTTGGTATTGAGCTTGAGCTAGGCATTGAGCTAGGCGTCACGCTGGGCTTAGAGCTCTCACTTGGCACAGAGCTTGGAATTGAGCTTGAGCTAGGCATAAAACTTGCCATCACGCTAGGCTTAGAGCTTACACTGGGTRTAGAACTTGGCATCATACTCGGCATTGAGCTTGAGCTAGGTATTGAGCTAGGCATCACACTAGGCATGGAGCTTACACTGGGCATAGAGCTTGGTATCACACTTGGTCTTGAGCTTGAGCTTGGCATCACGCTTGGAATTACGCTTGGCTTGGAGCTCATGGTAGGCATAGAGCTTGGCATCACACTAGGTATTGAGCTTGAGCTCGGAATAAAACTTGGCATGATGCTAGGCTTTGAGCTGATACTGGGCATTGAGCTTGGTATCAAACTTGGCACTGAGCTTGAGCTAGGCATTGAACTTGGAATCTCACTTGGGTTAGAGCTAGCGCTAGGAATAGAGCTTGGAACCAAGCTAGGCTTCAAGCTCGTGGTAGGTATGGAGCTTGGCATTGAACTAGGTGTTGAGCTTAAGCTTGGCATAGAGCTGGGATCAACGCTTGGCTCAAAGCTCAAACTTGGAGTTGAACTTGGCATCATGCTGGGCCAAGGACTATCACTAGGAGTGTAACTTGGAGAATCAGAAGGTTTAGAGCTGAAGGTGGGCAAGGAGCTTGGGGTCCAACTAGGCAAAGAACTAGGAACCATGCTTGGCTTCGAGCTCCAGCTTGGCTGTAAACTKGGAATGGAACTTAAAGTAGGCATAAAACTTGGCATCAAGCTGGGTGCTGAGCTTAAGGTAGGCATCAAGCTTGGCATTACTGATGGAACATCCAAATCAAGACAGTAGTGCAAAGTATCAATTTCAGGATTTATTTCTTCAGT